GCAATGCAGTTCGTGAATCGAAGGAAGAGGAAGATGGAATATGCACATAAAACTTCTTCTTTCTGTTTTATTTCTTTTGAATTCCTTTAATTATTATACCTCATATCTAAGAGTTCTCATTCATTCCATTTTCTCTGCCTTTATCATGGGTGATCATGCGTTGACCGCTCTGTCGGCGACGGCGCGACGTCGAAATCTGAATATTTGTTCAGATCAGCATTTAGATCCGCTGGCTCCAGTATTGGCGAAGCTTTCTTTTCTTGAAAAGGTGTGAAATAATTGTTTTGTGTTTGATTAATTGTTTTGTTTTATTCGCGGGCTTTCCAGGTGGTGGATACCCAAACGAAATTGCTGAGGGAGGTCCTTAGGCGATTGCCTCCTCCTGCTGAGTTTGAGTCTTCCGAGCTCGATCATGACCCCAGGAGTTTCTCTTCATCTTTTAACTGCTCCGTCCCTGCACTGAAAGCACTCAACGGAAAGCTATCATCTTCAAGCAGCAAAGAGGAATGCCAACATAGCAACAACTCCACAGCTGCATCTCCCCCTTCCCTCTCTCCTTGCGGACAGTGCAATAAAGAGAAGGAGACTTCAGAAGAGAGGCTCACATGTCATAAACGACTGCATGCAGAAACGAGCCCCGCGAATATAGCGGAATATGGTGAGGGTTGGAGCCCCGAGTTTGCTCTCTAGGCACTGCATTGCATGCGTTCATTGTTGTTTATTTCAATGGCTACACAGAAACACCTTTATTGATTCGTGGAGAAGAGCAGCAGCCAACAAAGGCTAGGATTTCTGCTTCTTCTTCTGCTACGAGTTGTTCACCGTCTTCCTCTCAACTCAAGTGCGTTATTGTTGTTATATTTCCTTATTTCTTTTTCTCTCTTTTTACGCTAACATCCGCTGCAGCAACAATAACGCAAGAGAAGCAAAGAAAGCATTCACACCTCCTCCTTGTCAGTGGTTATCACTGAGAGATATTCGTCTCGCCAAGCATAGAAGCATCAGAGAGCTCGATGCCTCTCCCGCGGTGTCTGCATGCGCCCCAGAACGACCCACAGTGGGGCCCTTTGGCTCTCCTTTAATTGAAGTGCAGCGATATGGAGAAGGATGGACAGCAACAACTCGCTGCCCTCTTCTTAGCAGCTCGGGTGTACGTGCAGCTGCTGCGGCGCCTGCAGCTTCAGGGGCAATATATAAGAAGATAGACATGACGCATGCAGCAAACGCATGCACTGAAACAGAAGCAGATTCCTGTCTCATTGTACGTACAATTATTTAAATATATCTTTATTTTATTTCTTTATATTCTCTCAATCAAGTGCTTACTCCCCAAGTCGGAGTCCATGCACTTAGCCAAGCCAACACTCTTTCGTCTCACTTGCGGTAAGGAAGGCCCTTTGATGAATTTGTTATTATCAATTAATTTAATTTAATTTAATTTAATTAATTTAATTTAATCTATTTCATTTTGTTTAACTTAACTTGATTTAATTTGCTCTAATTTAATTTAATTTAATTTAATTTAATTTAATTTAATTTAATTTAATTTAATTTAATTTAATTTTGTTGCATTTCATTAAATTCGCGCCGATTTTACTGAATAAAAACATAAAATAAAATAAAATAAAATAAAATAAAAATAAAATAAAATGCGGTTTAACAATAATAAACAAATATATCACAACAAATAATATATTAAAATATTAACCACTATAACACACCTCCACTACAAAACAAGAAAAAGCAATTTATGAATATATTTATATCTTCTTTTTCTCTGTCTTCCTTCAGGACATGAGTTTCATTTGCATTGGTAGGCGCATCTTTTTTATATTTTGTTTAATTGAAGTGTCTGTACACCTGGATATACTTCAGCTTAGCGGAAGTATTGCAAAGACGGCACTGCAGAAAAGAATGTGCTGTTTGCATCTGTCCAATTGAAGAAAAAGAAGGGCTATTAATAAGAGAGCAAAGCAAACGAGAAAAAAAACAAACAAATATCGTTGTCTATCAACAACAACTATTTGAAGCAATCGCACAAGTCGAGACAACACAGCAATGAACCTCTTCATTCAGAAGACATCATTATAATAATTATAATTATAATTATAATTATTGTTGTTGTTATTGTTGTTGTTGTTATTCTTTTTATTGTGTATTCTTTTGTTTTCTCTTGGGTTTCTTCTCGATGTTCTGACGGCTCAATTTCATACAAATGCCGCCACACGTAGCAGCGCATGCAGCAATCTGCAGCGGGCTTCGTCTTTTCTGATTGAAGTAATAAATAAGTCTTTTCTTTCCTTTGAGTTGTTGGGAATGAAGAAAGAAAGAAAAAAATTTAGTACAGTAATAATGAAAGAAAATCAAACGTATAACAGTAATGGAGTGCTGCATTCATTCACCGCTTTGCTCCTATGCACAGCACTTACACCTGAAAATTAAGAAAAAAGAAAATGAAGAGATACACAAGCACAAACAACTACAGCTAGCTACAGCTAGCTGGCGCTAGAATTACTAAGTTCCAGCGAGCTGTAGCTAGCTGTAGCTCGCTGGAGTTAGCTGCAACTACGTATATATCTGTGGTTGGTTGTCCCGAGCTGTGGATGGCTGTAGCGGTATATAGTAATTGCATTTAAATTCCTAGGAGGAAGAAGAGAGGAGGAAACACCCGCAATAATATAGTAGAAATCTGCGGTTTGATTGTCTCACCGAGGTGCGTATACACCCCAGAAGAATGAAGCAAAAAGGGATATAATAAAAAGTCGCAGATATAATTTATAATTTGTAGTATTATTTATTATTCTATCAATTTGCATAAACGATGTCGGCGGAGCGCATTCATCTCTTCATTATAATCCATTGTCATTCACCTTTTCTCTTCTTTTTTATTTGTTTGTTATTTATTTAAATTTAAATTTAAATTTTAATTCTAATTTGAAGAAGGCTTCGGTTTTATACAGAACTTCGCCTTCGCATAGCTGTTAAAGCGTTTTATCCAAATGGGGCTGGTTGTTGGGGTGTATGTACAGGTGTAGTGTAGCAGAGCTTCCGTTCATTCATGTTTCTTCTTTAGTGTATAAAAAGGTCTAATAAATAAACTGAAATTAAGGAAAACTTCAATTCTTTTTTCTTCTTTTTATTATTTACCCCCTTTTGTCTATTACTTCCTTCAGGACAAGAAGAGGGGGGTCCTCGGCTCTCTCCTTCGTTAACAGATTTCTTGAGTTGTTTGCTGTTTCTTTCTTCTTTTTATCTCTTCTTCTATGTTTTTCTTTCTTATTTAAACTCCGATATACACTTCATTACAGATGAACTTAACTCCGCGAGAAGATAAGCAAAAACAAAGACAAACTCCAAACAAAAGGAGGTTAAAGCCTCAGTGGTGATTCTTCTCCTTGCAACGAGGCAGCAGACAAACAGCATAAAAACAAAGAGGAATGAAGCAGCAGCTGCTGCTGCTTTTCTAGCAGCAGCAGCAGCAGCAGCAGCAACAACAACAACAACAATAACAAGAGCAATTACACCTCCGATAGCAGCAGCAGCTGCAGCAACAACAGCAACAACACCAGCAGCAGCAACAGCAGCAGCAGCAGCAGCACCATCACAACCAAGAGCAGCAGCAACAGCCACATCAACAGCAACAGCAGCAGCTTCCTCATTAGCAGCAACAGCAACATCAGCAGCAGCAGCAGCAGTTCTATCTCTATAATTATTAGCATCACTAGCAGCAGCATAACGAGCAGCATCATTATCATTAGCATTACCAGGAAGAGAAGAAGATTAGCATAAAAGATTAAAACAACAAAGTAATTAAATAAGATGACAACAATAGAGAGACTCGGTATTCAAGGCGTTCGAAGCTTCGGCCCCGAATGCATGCAAACAATTTCCTTTGGAACCCCTCTCACCGTTATTGTTGGTCACAATGGGGCTGGGAAGACAGTAAGATATTTACTTCTTTTCTTCTTTCTTTCTTCTTGTTGTTATTCTGCTGCTGCTGCTGCTGCTGCTGCTGATGCTGCTGCTGATGCTGCTGCTGATGATGATGCTGTTTTTTATTACTCTTATTCTTCGCTTTGATGGTGGTGGTGTCGTGCTTGGGTTTTTACTTATTGTATTTTTAGTTATTCTCTCTTTCTTTCTTCTTGTCATTATTATTATTACTATTATGATTATTACTATTACTATTATTATTATTATTATTATTATTATTATTATTATGTTTATTGTTTATTGTTTGTAACAGACGCTAGTGGAGTGCTTAAAGTATGCATTAACAGGAGAGCTGCCTCCCACTGCAGACCGAGGCAAAGGCTGGCTGTTCGATCCGCGTCTAACAGACACCCCGGAAGTAAAGGCTCAGATTCGGGTGTCTCTGCACCAGCAGCAGCAAAATAAAAGAATTCTCGTTGTTCGGTCTATGCAGTTATCGCATTCTCTTGATAAACAAAGAAGGGTTAAACCTCAGTTCAAAGTAAGCAAATATTTACTTCTATACAGTGTGCTTCTCCTGATGCTGCTGCTCCTGCTGCTGCTGATAACTCTATTGCTGCTGATAACGCTGCTTCTGCTGCTGCTGCTGCTGCTGATGATGATGATGCTGCTGCGGCTGCTGCTGATGCTGGTACTGCGGCTACTGGGGATGAAGCCCCTACGACAGCCGCTTCTGCAGCAGCAACAGCAGCAGCAGCAGCAGCAGCAGCAGCAGATGATTGTTGTTGTGGTGCTGCAGGCGTTGGAGTCTGTTGTTCAAATAAAAAGCGATGACGGCCAAACTGCAGCCATCAGCAATAAATGCGCTGACATTGATAAACAATTAGCAGCTCTTCTCGGTACTCTTTTTATTGTCTCCTTCTTAAACACTTCTGCATTTATTTGTTTTGTTTGTTTGTTTGTTTGTTTATTTGTTTTGTTTATTTGTTTATTTGTTTTATTTGCTTTATTTGTTTATTCGTTTATTTGTTTATTTATTTGTTTATTTATTTGTTTATTTATTTGTT